GGAGTTTATGATAGTCCTAAACCTCATAAGAGAAAATCCTTGGGGTGTAGATTCCATAGGTGTTTCAAGGAGTATGGGCTCATTGGCCTTTGAAGGTCAAAAAAGGGTATTTCATAATATGCCAGGGAATGTTATTCTCCTAGAAGATGAACTATAGGGAGATACCCAAAACCGGGGCTGTTTCCTACATGCCTGGCAGAAGTTCAGTTGGGGTTGGGATAACGGGGAGGCAGCACCTTCCACAATGCTGAGGCAGCCCTGCTGTTCTCAGAAATGAACACTTCCTAAAGGGCTTCTTCTCAGATCAGTTGCCAGACTAGGTGCTAGGCTTGCAAACTCAGATGCCTACAGAGGGCAGGCAAGGAACTTAAATGAGTGAGGAGTTCACTGAAGAAAAGAAGAAATGGGGACCATGGACATCTTATCAGCGACAGCTGCTGCTTAATCTCAGCCATTGTTGCCATGTAGGCTGTGGACCCAGTGTTAACCAGGTTCTTCTGTTTTTCAAAGAATGCCAGATGATATCGATTTTTATGGGTCTAACTTTTAATGTAAATTTGTAAGTTAAGATGGTCCTCAGGCCTCACAGGTTCTCTGAGGAAAGTATAAGCTTTTACAGTTATCCAGGAGGAAGTGATCAGGTGCTTACCTAAGGCAGTGGCAATGGGGACAGATAGACCTGGAGGAGGTAGGGTAACTAGATTTAACGACTAATTGGATGTAGATGATGAAAGATGTTGTAAAAGACTCTGATGTTTCCAGCCTAAGTGACTTAGAGGAAGTCAGTGCCACAGGCAGCTTCATGAAATGGCACAAGAATGGATCTTGAATCAGACAGAACCGGTTCAAACTCAGCCTCATCACTTACTAACTGTATGACCTTGAGCATGCAGCTTAACCTCTCTGAGCTTCAGTTTCTTCATCTATTATATGGGGCTGTCTCCCATATAATTATTTTAGAAATAAAAGCAAAAATTATTTTTATTTTAGAAATAAAAACAAAATAAACAAATGGGACCTAATCAAACTTACAAGCTTTTGCTTGTAAGGAAAGGAAACCATAAACAAAACGAAAGACGACCTGTGGAATGGGAGAAAATATCTGAAAACGATGCAACCGACTAGGGCTTAATTTCCAAAATATAAAAACAGCTTACGCAACTCAACAACAAAAAAACAACTCAATTGAAAAATGGGCAGAAGAACTAGACATTTCTCCAAAGAAGACAGATAGCCAACATGCATATGAAAAGATGCTCAATGTTGCTAATTATTAGAGACATGCAAATCAAAACTAAAATGAGGTATCACCTCACACCAGTCAGAATGGTCATCATTAAGAAGTCTACAGGGACTTCCCTGGTGGTCCAGTGCATCCAATGCAGGGAGTGTGGGTTTAATCCCTGGTTGGGGAGCTAGGATCCCATATGCCTCTTGGCCAAAAAACACAAAACATAAAAAAAAAAAAACAGAAGCAATATTGTAAAAAATTCAATAAAGACTTAAAAAACAATGGTCCACATCAAAAAAGAATCTTCAAAAAATAAAAGAAGTCTACAAATAACAAATGCTGGGGAGGGGTGGAGAAAAGGGAACCCTCCTACACTACTGGTGGGACTGTAAGTTGGTACAGCCACTATGGAAAACAGTATGGAGGTTCTTCAGAAAACTAAAAATAGAGCTGCCATATGATCCAGCAATCCCACTCCTGGGCATACATCTGGACAAAAATATAATTCAGAAAGATACATACACTCCAGTGTTCATAGCAGCACTATTCACAATAGCCAAGACATGGAAACAACCTAAATGTCCATCGACAGATGAATGGATAAAGAAGATGTGGTACGTATATACAATGGCATACTACTCAGCCATAAAAAAAGAACAAAATGCCATTTGCAGCCGTGTGGACGGAACTGGAGATTATCATACTAAGTGAAGTAAGTCAGACACAGAAAGACAAAACCATATGATATCACTTATATGTGCAATCTAAAATATGATACAAATGAACTTTTATTGAAAGAGAAACATACAGACATAGAGAACAGACTTGTGGCTGCCAAGTGGGAGAGGGTGGGAGAGGGATGGAGTGGGAGTTTGGGATTAGCAGATGCAATAAACCACTAGGTCCTACTATACAGCACAGGGAACTATATTCAATATTCTATAATAAACCATAATGGAAAAAAATATGAAAATATATATATAACTGAATCACTTTGCTGTACAGCAGAAATTAACACAACATTGTAAATCTACTGTATTTCAATAAAACTAAATAAAAATTGTAAAACTATACAGGGTGATGTTGATATATATGTCACAGAGTTGTTAATAAAGATTAAATAAGATTGTGCATGTAGATTGCTTAGCATAGAACCCGGCACATAATAAGAGCTTAAATGTTTGTCAAATTTATTAGCAACATCTCTTCATTCTACGTCCAGTAAAATGAAGTGTTGGGGTTTTTTTGATTTTTGTTTTTTTTCTTGGTAGTTTGTACTCTTCCCCATCCCCTGATCCAGGAGTATCATGTGACCCAGGCCTGGCCAATGAGAACATTACATTCTTCTGGTGATAGTGATTAGTTCAGGGACCAGATCAGATAGTCTGAGAATGGAATCAACGTAGTAAGCAGAGTTAAGGGATGAAAGAGAAACCGAGTGCTTCTGGAATATTTTGTTGTCTTCATCATGCCACACCTGAAATCAACTCTATGTCTGCACTTTTCAGTTAATATTCCTTTAGATTATGTCATTTGGATTGGATTTTCTAACATGTATCACTAAAAGAATCCTGATTTATCACTACAACTACTGTTATTATGACTTTTTAACTTAGATACCTAATGATTGGCATATCCTTCATAGAATTTAAAGCTGACAGCAGTTGGGAAAGCCATCTCCAGCCATGGTCCCCTGGGGATGAGGCCCTGTTCTTAGATGAGAGTGAGAACATGACATGTATCTGAGGTACCCTTAGAATCTATCCCAAGGTGGGAACTTACCCCCTCACAGCTCAGCAGCACCTACCGAGCTTGAAGTTCAGAAACCCAGTCTGAGGGTGAGGCAACAGGCATGGGGTCACTTCTTCTGTAACTTCTGTGGTTCTTGTCTGGTTTCCAGAGGAGACTCTCAGGTTGGACATTAGCTCGGGAAGCAGAAGTCAGGTGAGATGTAGAGACTAAAGAGAACCCTGGATGTTTGGAGAGAAAACCCTTCATCTTGATCCTCCAGGGATATGGTACCTAGGCCTTACCAGCCTGCTGTCACATCCCATGGGGTCATGAGAGAGGGTGTTACATGTGCAGGGCTCTGGCTGGCATTTGGGAGATACGGGTTTTAGCCCTGTCTCCAAAACACACTAGATGTCTAATCTAGGGACATGCTACTTGCCTCTCTGATCCTTATTTTCCTCATCAAGAAAGCTGGGAGAATTTAATGAAATGATATATCTATAGCACTTAGCAGTGTCTGAAACACAGTATGTATGTTCTTAGCAAACACTTTTTTTTTCCTCTCTGAGTCTCAAGTTACTCATCTGTAGAGTAAGGGAAATGAGACTAAACTCTGGTTACTGGATAATCCGTGAGGTTCCTTCTAGCTTGAAAATATTTCAAAACACTCTGGATTTCTTTACCTTATTTAAACTGAAAAAAAACATACTGCAAGCTTATCATGATACTATAGAAACATAACCCTTCATCCAAAACTCTTGGTGTCAAAAGCAATTCATAATTATTTAGGATTCTTTATTGAATTCCTCAGTACATAAAAGACTAAAGCAGACATTAGACTGCTCCAAAGCTTGTATATAACAGAAAACACCCAGGGAGGTATGGGTAGTGCTCCTATGGTGGTTTTGAAATACGTCCACAAGTTCTGTGATATTCTCTTCTTCAAGAGATGAAGACTAAATCTCTTCTTGTGTGTGTGGTGGGGGCTGAACTTGGTGATTCTCTTCTAAGAAACGGACCAAACAGAAGGGACAGTGTGACACTTTGAAGCCCAGCTCATAAAACGCATTGTGCTTCCTCCCGCCAAGAGCCGTATGAATGAGCTGCCTTGCAGGAGAGCCCTTCAGTCCAGTCAAGTCTGCAGGTGACTGCGGCCCCAGCAACACCTTGAGTGCGGCCACCCAGGTGAGTCGCTTTGGAATTCCTGACCCACAGAAACTGTGGGATAATAAATATTTGTTGCTTTAAGCCATTAAGTTTGGGAGTAATTTGTTATGTAACTGCTAATAACTAATACAACCCCATAATCAAGCACATTGATTATTCAATTATTCAATTCAGTCAAGCTTGACTGCAAAGTGAGTTGCCCCAAACTTGACTTCTGGTTTTCAGCGCATTTTTATTTTATTTTATTTTGTAAAGGTAGATGAGAAATTGTGAACAGGGATTACATAATGCAAAACACTTAAGGTGGGGGGGACGGAGGGGGACACATTTTTCAGTCCCAGTGTGCCTGTTAGACAATGACTGTGTCAGAAAAATGTCCTGAGTTAATTCTCTTATAAACAAACATTATCAGCCTCAAACTGCCTTCCCCACTAAACTGTGTACTCGAATGTATGGACTTTCTCATCTTCACAGACATTGCAGCCTCAGGGATTTTTAGAGATCATCTAGGCCATAGTTTTCCAAAGTACGATAAAGAGGTCACCCTCGTCAGAACTGGGAAGGTTGGGGGCTTCCCTGGTGGCGCAGTGGTTAAGAATCCGCCTGCCAATGCAGGGGACACGGGTTCAAACCCTGGTCCGGGAAGATCCCACATGCCGCGGAGCAACTAAGCCCGTGCGCCACAACTACCGAGCCTGTGCTCTAGAGCCCGTGAGCCACAACTACTGGGCCTGTGTGCCTAGAGCCAGTGCTCTGCAACAAGAGAAGCCACCGCAGTCAGAAGCCCGCGCACCGCAACAAAGAGTAGCCCCCGCTCCCCGCAACTAGAGAAAGACCGAGCACAGCAACGAAGACCCAATGCAGCCAAAAATAAATAAATAAAATAAATAAATTTATCAAAAAAAAAAAAAAGAACTGGGAAGGTTCGGAGAGGTACTTGTAATGCAGACTCTGAGGCCTTAGCCAGGCCTGCTGAGTCAGAATCTCAGACCTAGGAATCATATTAGCTTCACGGTGTTGGGTAAATTAGCTAATCTCTTTAAACCTGAGTTTCTGCATCTATAAAACGGGGATAATAATACATGCTTCTTAAGATTATTAGCAGGATCAAAGGAAATGGTATAGTAAAGTGTCCAACACAGTGCCTGGTATAAAAATGATTTCTGAATTGAGTTATATAATTAAGTCTATACCTTGATTCTAGGAAGCCCAGGACCAGGGGAATGCATAATACCACCTCCTCTGCCGTACAAGGCATCAGTGGGGTGTAAAAGCTTAAGTATGATAATAGTATTAATAACAGCAACACTATTGTTGAACGTTTAAGTGCCAGGTACTGATCTAAACACTTAGCTAACATTAACTTATTAAATTCTCATAACAATCCTGTGAGGCAGATGCTGCCTTTTGACCCATTTTACAGATGAGGATACTGAGACACAAAGCAGTTAAGTAACAGACTAAAGTTATAGCTTCCAGGTGGCAGAGCCAGGATTTGAACCTAAATAGTTTGTAAGAGTAAGATTCACCCAGGTTTGCTCTCCTTAAAATAAAAGAGAAGGGACCCCAAGTCCCAAAGCCTATTCCTTTCTTGATGAATGTCTGCTACTCTGCCTCAGAGCTATAGCTGAACCTGAGATCCCAAGTGAATTGTGGATCCTGGCAAAGCTGGCTCTCATGCTCTTACCAGGAGCATGTTTGGATGAAACAAAGGGAAGCACTGGGCCTAGGGCAGACGGACACTTTCTGGAGAAAGCAGTCCAGGCAGGAAGCCTGGAGGGCCCCCAAGAGTAGCTTAGCTTCTTTTAGCCTGAGCCAACTTCAGCTTTAGAGCCGTCACGCAATCCATTTCCTCTGCCCAGAATTCTCCCTGGGCTTCTTTATCCTTCAAGTCCTATCCTTTACATTCTCCGAGAGGCCTTTATCTGATAATTCCATTTGAAATAGATGTCCCGTCCCATCCCCCATTCTCGATTATTCTCTGTAATAGCCCACTCTTTAGTTCCTACTAGCACTTACCATAAATTTTAATGATTTTTAGAAATCTTTCATCTGTTTTCTGATCTCCCTCACTGCTTCAGGAGAGCAGGAATCATGTCTGTCTCATTCACCACTGTAAACTTCGGGACCTGACTGTAAACAAGGTGTGGCACATAATTGATTCCATCAGGACTTGTCAAATGCTGGTGAATATGATGAAAAACATGAGTGGATATACTGGCCTTTCCCTCTCCTGCCCACATTGACACCCATTCCTCACCACTTCACCCTACATCTTTCCCTTTGAAGGGAATCGCTGAGCTCGGATAGGGGACAGACCTGCTTTCCGCACCTGTCACTGTTCTCAGCAGAGGATTTCTCCCACTCTCCAGCCCCAGTCTTTATCACAAAGCACCCACATCTGGGAGGAAGGCTGAACCAAGCACGGAAGCGTGACCTGAACAGAGTGGTTCAAAAAACCTACTTAAATATTTTTAAAAGTAACCAGCTTTGGAGCTCCAAAGTCTTCAGTCCTAGAAAGAAAAATAGAATAGATTCAGTGATTTATACTACTGGGGGCAAGGGTTTTCTTTAAGCTAGAACCAGCATCGTTAGCCATTGTTCACAATCCACTGAGTGATATCCAAGGTTTGAACCAATTAAGCCACAGCTTCAGATCATGGCTGGAGACAAATGATGGCAGAGAGAAGGCCCCAAGGCCCCATCTCACACCCCAGCTGTAGACAACGGATAGTCCTATTGACTTTGGCAAGAAAAAACATTGAAATACATTTGGGGCAGGGCAGTAACTTTTCTGTTGAATGTGTTCTTTCCCTGCAGAGCCCTAAGAAAGTAAAACTGATAACTCGAATGACTTCCAAGTGGCAAATGGTACAATTCACTGAGAAAACCAGGGTTGCACAATCATTAAAATAGCAGAATCTCCCAGAAGCAATTCCTAGAAATAAAATGCCAACCGCAGTACAAATTGTCAGAAAGCCTTTGGAGGAGGAATTTCCAGCTTGACAGAAACCATCCACATAGTGTACTGAGACAAAAGAACAGCATTTTCCCAATTCCTTACACTTGCATTGTTACTGAGACTTGGAATTTAACTATTCAACTAAATAATTGCTCTGAAGTTCATTTGACATTTTTAGCTTGGTGACCCTGGGCGTGTTACTTGACTTCTCTGGGTCTCTATATCCTATAAAATGGAAATAATTGTAGTACATATTTGCCTCATGTAGTATAAAGATTAAACAAATTAAAATATACGTAAGTGCTTAGTACAGTGTCTGACACATAGTAAATGCTATGAAAGTGTTGAAAACCGATTATTTTTTGCATATGTTTATATGGTTATTGCAAATATGCTCACAGCGCAGCTTCACACATCTCCATCACATTGAATCCTACTACCAGTTTGTTCTTCCACTTCCTTCCTAGAGCAACCTGAGGGCAAGGACTCAGTCTCTTTCTCCATGTATCCTGGTGCCATCCATGATCTGGCAAATAAGCATTCAGTAAGGACTTCTGATGAATAAATAAAGGCATACTACTCTGAGGTTATAAAATGAATATCACACAGTCCGTGCCCTTGAAGAGCTCATACCCACTGGGGGAGAAAGACACTGAACAAAACTCCATCATGTGATTGATCAGAATTCTTAAAGAGAATAGAATTCTAAACTCTTAAAGAGATTAGAATTCTTAAAGAAAACACTGCTGTTAGAATTTGCTTGGGTTGGGGGAATGAGGGAAGAAGGTAATGTATAAACCAACCTCAAAGGAGGGGAGGACTTTTGCCAAGTAAAGGTTGAGTGAAGGAGGTGGCATCTCAACTGAGTTTGAAGGATGAGTAGGAGTTGGCCAGACGAAGAAGGAAAAGAGGACTCTGTGGGCAGATGAAGTAGCATGCATGCACTTCAGGCTCTTGTGTGGGGAGAGCGTGTGGATCTGTATATGTGTGAGAGAGACATTTTGCTATCGACTGTAAATTCCTGTAGAACAGGGGTCAGCAAGCTTTCTCTATAAAGGGTTAAATAGAAACTGTTTTCAGCTTTGTGAACCATCCAGTCTGTTGCAACTACTCAGCTCTGTCACTGTAGCAAGAAATCAGCCGTAGATAAGATGTAAACAAATGACGTGGGCAGACTCAGCCCGGGGAGGGCTGGATTTGGCCCATGGGTCCTAGGTGGCCAACTCCGACTACAGAACAAGGAAACTGCCCTCTGGCTTCCCAAGGATACAGTGCATGAAGGTGCCCAACCCACAGGGCTTATGCTAGGGAGCCCTTCACATGATCAGACTTGCTCTTTGCATGGGTTATCAAGTGCTGTGCTACAAATTATCTCAAAACTTAGTGGCTGAAATTATCAATATCTATGACAGTTTCTGTAGGTCAGGAAGAAATTTGGGTAGTTCTGGCTCAGAATCTCTTCTGAGGTTGCAGTCAAGATATCAACCAGGGCTGCAGTTATGTGAGAGCTCTACTGGGGCTGGAGAATCTACTTTCAATAAAAGTAGCTGACAAGTGTGTGCTAACTTTGGCAGGTGGCCTCAGTTCTTCCCCACATGGGCCCTTCCACATGGCTGCTTGGGTATCCTCCACAACATGGTGGCTGACTTCCCCCAGAGCACACAGTCCAAGGGACCAAGGTGGAAGTCATGACCTAGCCTAGGAAGTCACACACTGTCACTTTTGCCATATGTTATTTGTCATAAAGACAAACATGGATTCAATATGGGAACATACACTATGCAAGACATGAACACTAGGGGGCAAGGAATACTGAAGGTAATGTTGAGGCTGGCTACCACACCCTTTCTCCATAACCCACAGTGACATATGCTTCACTCTTCTCTCCCCTCTTTCAGTCAAATGCTATAACAGAAACGTCAGAGAATTTGAATGTCCCAAACCCTTCATATTACCCATAAAAGACAATAAGAACGCCACTTGGATAATGTGGAGATGTTAAAAAATTAAATAAATCCTGGACTTCTCTGGTGGAGCAGTGGTTAAGAATCTGCCGCCAATGCAGGGGAGACGGGTTTGATCCCTGGTCCGGGAAAATCCCACATGCCGCGGAGCAACTAAGCCTGTGCACCACAACTACTGAGCCTGTGCTCCAGAGCCCGTGAACCACAACTACTGAGTCCGCGTGCTGCAGCTACTGAAGCCTGCATGCCTAGAGCCCATGCTCTGCAACAAGAGAAGCCACCACAATGAGAAGCCCATGCACCAGAACGAAGAGTAGCCCCAGCTCACCGCAACTAGAGAAAGCCCGCACGCAGCAACAAAGACCCAACGCAGCAAAAAAATATATAAATAAATAAATAAATAAATAAATAAATAAATAAATAAATCCTTGCTATATTTACCTAGAGCATGAGAGAGACTGGGGTACAAACACAGGAAGCTCACCTCTGTAATTCTCCCTGAAGGAAAGGGCTTATTGGATAAACCATTAGTTGTTCCTCATCAGTAAATCTCCACGCCAGTTTCCTCACTTGCCTAAAGGTGAGCTGTATGAGATAGCCAGATACTTTACTCTTCACCTTCCATAAATGAAGTAGAATCCAGAAACTGCTCAAAATTTGACCTAGAAACACAGCTTACTGTTCCCCAAACAAACCCAGTGGGGCTACTTGAGGAAACAGGCTGAACAACTCCATTTCTATCAAACTATTTGGGACTTAGGGTTCTAACACTTTAGAATTGACGAGACCTTACCATTTTTTTCCAGCCTCCAACTTGGTCCAGCACCCCTTTCCCCTGCACTCCTGACCAACAGCCTTTCTGCTTCTGTTCACAGGTATCACAGGTCCTTTGTGGCTAGGCAGGGCCTGGGGAGAAGCTAGGTGGCATCTCTGCAGAGTATCTCTTCAACTGGTGCACGGAGGCTCTGTGCTTTGTGACTGGGGGAAAAGAGAGTTTTATTTATTTTGCTTGTCCGGGTGACAGAGACCATTGAGAGAGATGTAAAGGTGACAGGGAGGGACAGGATATTGTATTAATTTGACCCAAATCTAACTGTTGGACTTCTCTGAAACCCTATAACCAAGAATATGAGGGCCAGAAGCTGAGAGAGACATCTTGTTGTTGAGAGATAGAAGACTCTGGCCAAAAGTAGTGTTTCTTGGGGACTCATAATGACAAACTGTGGCACAGAAGTGGGACCATTCTCCACAGCTCTCAGGACCCAGTGACACACGGGGATGCTGAGCCAGAGGGACCAGGGTGCATTGTGAGGAAGCCCCCTTGGCACATACATTGGTACACACAGGGATGCTGAGCCCGAGGACCAGAGCGCATTGTGAGAAAGCAGACACTGGCACAGACATTGGTGTTCTAACAATTAGTATAGTTGGCAGAGGCAGGAGCAAGTCTGCCTAAATAGTGTCAAGAGCTAAGATGTCACCAAGAGGGAAGCCACAGTGTATGACAGGTGCTCATACCACATGCACTAGTTTGTAGGCGGAGGTAGGTACTCCATGGGGACTCCTGGAAATGACCCAGGCACCTCTGGGTGAGGGGGAGAAACTCCTATAATTCGACATGTAGGGGCTATATCTTGGGGTATTCATATAAATGTGCCCTCACTATAGTAGTTAAGAGCATGGATTTCGGAGCCAGACTAGCTGGGTTTGAGTCACAGTGTGGCCCTGGGCAAGTTACTCAACCTCTCTGAGCCTATTTTTCCTCATCTGTAAATTGGAGATAATAATATACTACTTCAGAAGGTTGTTGTGACTATTCCAGGAATTACATATGTAAAGTACTTAGAACAGTGCCACCATAATAACCACCACATAATGGTTGAAAACATTTTTTTGTTCTCACAAGTTGGTGATGTCAGGAACAAACTTGTTATATAGACTTCCTGGGATGAAACTTATCTCCTCCACTATAAAGGCTGTTGCTTGTTGGAAAATTCTAGTTATTAAAATTCTTTCTGTTAAGGCAACTTTCCTCCTTGCAACTTCTCCACATTGGTTTCAGTTTTTCTCTGAGCTATTCCAGAATAAACCTGTCTCGTGGTAACAGCTCACTGAGACACCTCTCAGGATCTCCCTGAGTTTTCTCTTCGACATCCTGAGCAGCCCCAGATCTTTCAACCATTTCCCAGAAACCTGGCCCCCAGGTCCCTCTCCATCCCAGAGGCATGCCTCTGAATGCACTGCAGATCGCCAGCATTGGGGAGGGATGTGGACTCCAAGCAGACAGCCTGGGGACTGTCTCTAGGAGACCCCCCCTCACATGAACACATGTTCCTTATAGGAAAAAATGTCAGATGAACCCAACCGTTTCAAATTAATTTTGTTTGGGAGAGCAAAGGAAAGGGAATTTCCAAACAGGGCCAAGGTCTTTGTCAAAGCTGTTCCTCTAAGATAGAGACGGACAACTGGCTGCCTGGAGAGGGGCCAGCTGGGAAGTGTAACCCCATCCAGGGACGTGAGCCAGTGCTGGCTCCTCCTTTCTAGAGGTGAGAAGGAAAAGCTGGTTTCCTCAGTAGAGATAAGCACAGAGTGTGTGCTCCAGGAATAAATAAAACTCTTGTACCTGGCACGGGCCGTAACTCCTGTCCCCAGCTGAGACATATGCCTCTCTCACTCCACTTTCACTGTCCGAAGCCCTGGAGAGCAGTTGTCTGCCCCCCACTCCAGGGCAGGAGGCTGCCAGCACATTTCCGGGTTTCACTGGCTCAGGACTTTCTAAATGATTTTCTTTTATGGGCCGGAGGGGTAGAAGAACAGGAGGTAGGAGGGAACATGGAAAATGTCATTTTGGTCTCAATCAGACTATTTTCTGAAGAATGACAGTTGAAACTGTCTTCAGTTGCTTTGTGTTTGGCAATATTTCATAAGGATTATGCCCAAGGACAGTTTTGGAAATAAGGCCTCCTCATTTCTTTTTAAAAAAGTTTCCACCTATTATAAAAGTAAGGCCTGCTCATCAAAGGGGGAAAAATCTATCAACCATAATTCAACAATCCAAAGGCAACCTTCATTAACACTTTAGTGCATCTCTTGCCAGAATTTGTCAGAACTTATTATCTCTTTTCCAAATAATTATAATTATAGTTTACAAAACACGATCTCAAATCATTCATACATTTTATGAACATTTCTTCTATTATTATATACTTTACACAAATGTGTTTTTTAACAGTTTTATTAAGATGTAATTCACATACCATATGAATTTAAATTTGCCCATTTAAAGTATATAGTTCAGTGGTATTTAGCATACACAGAATTGTGCAACCATCACCATAATCAATTTGAGAACATTTTTATTACCCCAAGAAGAAACCTTGTGCCATTAGCAGTCATTCCCCATCCCCAGCCCTACCCCAACCCCAGTCTTAGGCATCCACTCTTTCTGTCTCTATAGATTTGCCAATTCTAGATGTTTCATGTAAGTGGAATTATACAATATATGGTCTGTTGTGACTGTCTTCTCTCACTTAGCATAATTTTTAAAGGCTCATCCATGTTATAGCATGTATCAATACTTCATTCCTTTTCATTGCCAAATAATATTCTATTATATGGATATGTGACATTTTATCAATTTGTCACTCGATGGACATTTGTGTTGTCTCCACTTTTTAACTATTATAAATAATGCTGCTGTGAACATTTGTGTACAAGTATATGTTTTTATTTCTCTTGGGTATATACCTAAGAGTGGAATTGCTGGGTCATATGGTAACTCTATGTTTAACCTTTTGTGGAACTGACATAGTGTTTGCCAAATTGGCTGCATCATTTTACATTCCCAGCAGCAGTGTATGAGGGTTCTAATTTCTCCACATCCTTGTCAGCACTTGATACTATCTGTCTTTCTTAGTGTAACCATCTAGTGGGTATAAAATGGTGTCTCATTATGGTTTTGATGTGCATTTCCCCAATGGCGAATGATGTTACAATGGAATACTACTCAGCCGTAAAAAAACCAAAATAATACCATTTGCAGCAACATGGATGCAACTAGAGATTATCATACTAAGTGAAGTAAGTCAGAGAGAGAAAGACAAATACCATATGATATCACTTAAATGTGGAATCTAAAATATGGCACAAATGAACCTATCTACAAAACAGAAACAGACTCACAGACGTAGAGAAAGACTGGTGGTTGCCAAGGGGGAGGCGGGTGGGAGAGGGAAGAACTGGGAGTTTGGGATTAGCAGATGTAAACTACTATATATAGGATGGATAAACAACAAGGTGCTACTGTATAGCACAGGGAACTATATTCAATATCCTGTGATAAACCATAATGGGAAAGAATGTAAAAAAATCATGTCTCTATGTGTATAACTGAGTCACTTTACAGCAGAGATTGGCACAGCACTGTAAATCAACTATGCTTCAATTAAAAGAAAAGAGAAATGCAAATCAAAACTACAATGAGGTACCACCTCACACCGGTCAGAATGGCCATCTTTAAAAAGACTACAAATAACAAATGCTGGAGAGGTTGTGAGGAAAAGGGAACCCTCCTATACTGTTGGAGGGAATGTAAATTGGTGCAGCCACTATGGAAAACAGTATTGAACTTCCTCAAAAAACTAAAAATAGAGTTGCCATATGATCCAGCAATCCCACTCCTGGGCATATATCTGGACAAAACTATAATTCGAAAAGATACATGCACCTCTATATTCATAGCAGCGCTCTCTACAATAGCCAAGACATGGAAACAACCTAAATGTCCATCAACAGATGAATGGATAAAGAAGATGTGGTATATCTATACAATGGAATACCACTCACCCATAAAAAAGAATGAAATAATGCCATTTGCAGCAACATGAATAGACCTAGAGATTATTATACTAAGTGAAGTCAGAAAGAAAAAGGCAAATATCATATGATATCACTTATATGTGGACTCTAAAATATGACACAAAAGAACTTATCTGTGAAACAGAAACAGACTCACAGACATAGAGAACAGACTTGTGGTTGCCAAGGGGGAGAGGGGTGGGAGAGGGAAGAACTGGGAGTTTGGGATAAGCAGATGCAAACTATTATATATAGAATGGATAAACAAAAAGGTCCTACTGTATAGCACAGGGAACTATATTCAATATCCTATAATAAACCATAATTGAAAGGAATATGATAAAGAATATATATATGTATAACTGAATCACTTTCCTGTACAGAAGAAATTAACGTAACATTGTAAATCAACTATACTTCAATAAACTAAATTTTAAAAAATAAAACAAAATAAAGATGTTTGACTACATTGCTTTCTCAAAAGTTTTTATTGGTTTACACTCCTTTCAGCAGTATATAGTTGGCCCTCTGCATCCACAGATTTAACCAGCCTTGGATCAAAAATATTCAGGAAAAAAAAAATTCCAGGAAGTTCCAAAATGCAAAACTTGATTTGCTGCACACTGGCAACTATTTACGTAGCATTTACAGGCATACTTCCAAGATATTTTGAGTTTGGTTCCAGACCATGGCAATAAAGCAAATATCGTAATAAAGCAAGTCACATGAATTTTTTTGGTTTCCCGGTACATATAAAAGTGATGTTTACACTGTCCTGTAGTCTAGTAAGCGTGCAATAGCAGTATATCTAAAAAAGTACATATCTTAATTAAAAAGGACTTTATTGTTAAAAAAAATGCTATCATCTGAGCCTTCAGCAAGTTGTAATCTTTTTGCAATAGTAACATCAAAGATCACTGATCACAGATCACCATAACAAATATAATAATAATGAAAAAATATGAAATCTTGCAAGAATTACCAAAATGTGATGCAGAGACAGGAAGTGAGCAAATGCTTTTGAAAAAATGGCACCGACAGGTTGCTCGACACAGGGTTGCTACAAACCTTCAATTTGTAAAAAACACAGTATCTGTGGAGCAGGATAAAACAAACCTCAGTAAAATTAGGGGTATGTCTGTACATTGTATTTATAACTATTTACAAAGCATTTACATTGTATTAGGTATTATAAGTAATCTAGAGATGATTTAAAGTATAGGGGAGGATGTACATGGGTTATGTGCAAATACTATTCCACTCTATATAAGGGACTTGAGATTTTCATATCTGCGGGGCTCCTGGAGCAAATCCCCCCATGGGTACTGAGGAAGGACTATATAAGGACTGTATAAGAAAGCCCTCATTTTGTCATAATTGCAAGGGGATTTGTATTTTTTTTTAATTTTTGCTAACTTGATTGGCACACACTTTTTTCACTAATTTGTTTTCTAGTTGCATTTCTTACTCTGAATTTTCTGATTCTGTCCTTTCCCACATCTTGCTTCCTTGTTTGAACTCCTTTTATAGCCCATCTAATTGTTTGGCTCCCTATCATTCATTACCCTGTAGCATACTGATCAAAAATTCTTGCTTGATCACTTGAATCTTCTGCCTCCATAGTGAGAACTTGCAAAGACTTAAGTTAGTTTTTTTTTAATGTTTTAGCATCTTTTTACCAGCTGTTTCCACTCCTGGCAGTGCTCATCCTGCAAAACTTCTTATAGTTGCACCGTAACATTTTTGTTTCTTTGCTTTCTCTTGAAAATGGTCCTTTGCTTTCTCCTGAAAACTTACCAGTCCTGTGTTCCACCCCCTCAAAGCTCTTCTGGTTGGCTCATTAATTAATTTAACTGTGCAAATAATATAGCTAT